TAGTGGTGATATTGCGATTATACCGATGATGGTACTGCGGGTGGTGGTGGCAATAAGTCTCAGCGGAAACGATTACTGTCGTTTCCGATAAGCTCCGTGTTCGTAATGTCGCGGCGGTAATAATACGGCGGCGATAGAACGACTAAAATAGATTACGGCGGCGGCGAGTTCGTGACACGTCCTGTCCGTGTCAAAAAAGAACGCTGGTACAATTACGGCGGCAGTAAGATTATGACGACGGTGGAATTACGGCAACTGTAGAATTACGATCGGCCGTAGAATTACGACGGTGGTAGAATTATGGTCGGCGGTAGAATTACGGCGGCGGTAGAATTACGGCGGCTGTAGAATTACGGCGGCGGTAATTACGATCGGCACGTTCTAACCTACCCACGGAGGGTGGCCGAGAGCGTGGTGCGCGGAAAAGAAACAAAAAGACGAATAAACGACGGCGGCGGCAGTTACTCTGCACGCTCTGACCCGTATTTGCGCGGCGGATAGCCCTAGCAGTCTAGGCCGAATATTTCCGTTGGTTCTAGCCTTCCAAAAAGGTGGCCGAGAACCGTGGTTATACTAGCCAGTCACTGCTGGAGCTATACAAGACAATTTGTTGTGTCGGCCGGGCTCCCTTATATGTAGTTTGCCGGTCGACCGCGCGTGCAGAACCGATATGTTTTTGCATGGCCGCCTATGTGGTTGGTATTGGTGCGCAGTCTTCCCTCGGGGAAGTGCGCACTCTATCGACACTGATGAGCGGCTGTTGTACTGTGTCGTGTTTCAGTTAGATAGCGCGTCATGCATATATTTCGTGTTCGTTACATTGTCCCCTTTTTTTTTGTGATGATTTTTTCCTTTAGTAGGAAAAGGAGGAAGAAAAAAAACTATTTACATTTATTTACACATTTTTTTTTTGTTGGATTGTTCATGGTGATTACTTTTTCCGTTTATACCAGGCTCGTTTGGCCGCGGTGCGACGTTCAGCTCTGGTTAGTCGTGGTTTGGTGTCATTGATACCATCGTGTTGTGCTGGTGTTGGTAAGTCATTGATGCTCTCTGATACTGCTGATAGTGATGTTATTGTTGCTTCTATAAGACTTGTTCGTTGAAGTAGGTTTTCTGCCTTTTGAAAAACTTCGACTCCGTACTGCCCAATATCATCATTATACTTCCTCTTGTTGATACGTGCGGCCATTTGTCTCTGGAATTGAGCTAACTCCTTCGCATGTCTTCTTTCGTCGAAAGTGATGTGCTCCGTCTGTACTTTTCCGATTTGCAAGTCTTTTAGGTCTGCCTCCAGATCGTTGCATGTTAGGTCGACTGTGTCTTCTTCCTCGTCGGTGCTTATGCTGGTGTCAGACCAGTGTTCTGTCGGTTCCTCAGTTTCACTGTCACTTCCCAGTGCATCTTTTATCCGTTGTTTCAGTGTTTGTTGCTCTTGGATTGTCTTCTCATCGTCCGTGAATCCATCTTCCCCAAACAGCAGGCTAATTCGCTGACGATACCTTTCCATTTTTATCCTAACTAAAAGAGTTAACATTTGTATATACATTTTTTTTATTTGTTTGACATAAAATCCGTCACCAACTACATTTATTTTACACAGAACATTGAAACATATATTTATTTTAGTTGTTAGTACGATTATAATTCCTAGCCTTGTCATACCCTTTATCCAGCTACGACTATGGAATTGGGTTCCATTATCTGTGAGCATCTTTTTGAACGTTCCATATTGAGGTATGTATTGTTTTTCAATTCGATTTATTATGCTGTCTGATCTGGCCTTCTTGAGCGGGTATACTTGTACATGTTTTGCGAAGACATCCATGATTACAAGTATGTGTTTTGCCCCAAGTTGTCCCGTTGGTAATGGTCCGACTAGATCTAGCGATACCATTTCTCGTGGTTTCATTGGAATATTATTCTTCATTGGTCCCCTAGCCATTTGGTTGAATATCTTGCTCTTTTGGCATATATCACAGGCCTGTGTGATTTTCTTGATGGTCTTGTTGGTATGACTAAGTTGGCAATCCAGTTTGAGTAGTTGGTATATTTTCGTCACCCCACTGTGTCCATATCTTTCATGTGCTTCCTTGACCAATTCCACTGCTAGTTGATCTGGAATCATGAGTTGGTTCTTTCCCTTTTTGTCGACGTAGAACAGTAATTGCTGGTGTAGTTTATACGGTAATTGTGGTTCGGTTGGTAGGCGAGATACGATTTTTTGTATTTTCGGATCCGCTTGTTGAAGTTTTGGTAGTTGTTGTTTAAATTTCTCATCTTCCTGTGGGCTTAGTGTGATGTTGGTTATGGGTTCTTCCATAATTTCGATGGTCGTGATTCGTTTACCTTGTATTGCTGGGTTTTCGGAGAATGGCGTGATTTGTTGTTCCCCTTCAATTGACCATTTAATAGTCTTGTTTGTGAAATTAATATGTGCATTATATTGATTTAGGACATCAGCACCTATAATGGCTCGTTCATTGAGATTTTCTACTTGTATAAAATTAATAAATAGTTGCTTGTCCCCTATTGTGCAGCTGCAAAATAGTTGTTTGGACACTTTACATATTTTCCGTCCCACTGCGTTACTAATTTGTACGCTGCTGATTGGTAATATAGGTATCTCGGAATTTGTTTTTAATATTTGGTCCGCCAGTTCTTTATTGATGACACTGATAGTCGCTCCGGTGTCGATTAGTGCTTCGATTGTCTCTCCTTCGACTATACATTTCATATATGGACTCATTGACCCATGGTTTGTTTGTATATTATTAATTGTATGATTAGTATGTTCTCCATCCTCAGGATCTTCCTGTCTATCTTCGGTGGTGCTAATTTGATTAATTGCTTGTCTATCTCGCCATTGTGTGTTACCCGATTCTTGTGTGTTTCTAGGAGTTTGGTACTCTCTTGTTGGTTCGTTTCTTCCCCTTGATCGCCAATTGCCCTCTCTTCGTGGTGGGTCTTCTCTGTTCCTATTCTGATTATTATTATTGTCCCTATTTTGGTGTGGTCTGTTATTATAATTATTATTTTCTCTCTCCGTTGTTCTTCGGTGTTCTTCTGCACCCAATAATTTCATTGCGTTTAATATGGTGCATTCGGGTAGCGAAATTAAAATTGCCCTTAAATATCCAGGATAATGTCCGGCAATATTACTCACAATTTCTTGTTCAGCCAGCCTTGGTACTTCTAGATGTCTTAATTTTGTGGCCCAATATGAGAAATGTTCCCGATAATTGGATTCATTCGGTATTTGTTTCACTCCTAAGCATTGACTCCATGTCTGCATTTGTATTTCCCGAGACCAATACTCATCTTTGAATGCGTCTTGGAACTCTTGGAAATTTGTTATTTGGAACCGTATGGTAGCAAACCAGCTACTTGCTGTCGATTTTAGACAGTCCCCTGCAATAATTAATTTTTCGTCCGTATACATAATTTGTTTTAATGTAAAATATTCATTTAATCTATTTAGAAAATCTATGGGGTGCATGTCTCTCCGGTTGCCATAGAATAATGGTTTTGTAATGTTTGTAAGTGGTCCCCTGCAGACTTCTTCCTTTTTATTTTGTGTGTTTTGATTGTAGTCGTCTCCCAAATTTCGGAATGTTGTTATATACCGGTTTTCCATTTCTTCAATTGTTGATTTATATTTTTCTTCTGTTTCCTGTATTTTTTTAATGTGTATTTCTTCCCATTGTATTTTTAAGTTTTGTATGTCTACTTTATGTTCTTCTTTAATAGCTTGTATTTCCCTTTTTTGTTCTTCTTTAATATCTTGTATTTCCTTTTTCTGTTTTTCTATCTTTTTCGTTTGTTCTTTTATTTGTATTTCTATTTCTATCATTCTTCTTTCCCAGTCTTCACTTAAGTCTTCATTTTTCTTTTTTCTCGGCATTTTGTATTAATTATGTAAAACTTATAGATGTAGATTTATTTTCTCAGTCGGTAAAGAGCGAGTTCTTATTTTCGTGGTCGTGGAGATCGAGTCCAACTTGTTGGGCGCCAGTTGTAACGGGTAGGTTTTTTGAGCCTATTCCTATACAAATATTTATTAAATCACAATGCATGGATTTTGGTAATCATGTTAATCTTTATTGAACACAAATATATTAATTATATAATACAAAAAGATGATAATTAGTAATATAAACTGAATACTCATTTATTTATGACGTATACGTTTTCGTACGTATACGTTAAGAATATAATAAAATTCGCGGTTTTACATATGATATTCCCATTCACGATTATAAATTCGTAGGTACTCACGGCTCTGTAGTTTTATAATCTCAATATATAATTACAGTATGATAGTGGTGATATTGCGATTATACCGATGATGGTACTGCGGGTGGTGGTGGCAATAAGTCTCAGCGGAAACGATTACTGTCGTTTCCGATAAGCTCCGTGTTCGTAATGTCGCGGCGGTAATAATACGGCGGCGATAGAACGACTAAAATAGATTACGGCGGCGGCGAGTTCGTGACACGTCCTGTCCGTGTCAAAAAAGAACGCTGGTACAATTACGGCGGCAGTAAGATTATGACGACGGTGGAATTACGGCAACTGTAGAATTACGATCGGCCGTAGAATTACGACGGTGGTAGAATTATGGTCGGCGGTAGAATTACGGCGGCGGTAGAATTACGGCGGCTGTAGAATTACGGCGGCGGTAATTACGATCGGCACGTTCTAACCTACCCACGGAGGGTGGCCGAGAGCGTGGTGCGCGGAAAAGAAACAAAAAGACGAATAAACGACGGCGGCGGCAGTTACTCTGCACGCTCTGACCCGTATTTGCGCGGCGGATAGCCCTAGCAGTCTAGGCCGAATATTTCCGTTGGTTCTAGCCTTCCAAAAAGGTGGCCGAGAACCGTGGTTATACTAGCCAGTCACTGCTGGAGCTATACAAGACAATTTGTTGTGTCGGCCGGGCTCCCTTATATGTAGTTTGCCGGTCGACCGCGCGTGCAGAACCGATATGTTTTTGCATGGCCGCCTATGTGGTTGGTATTGGTGCGCAGTCTTCCCTCGGGGAAGTGCGCACTCTATCGACACTGATGAGCGGCTGTTGTACTGTGTCGTGTTTCAGTTAGATAGCGCGTCATGCATATATTTCGTGTTCGTTACATCGTTAATCTGCGCCAATACTTCTGTAGTTCGATAGGTTTATTTTTTCGGTACTACAATATTTCACATATAATTTCGTCGCCACAATTATCGTACTCGGAAAATTTAGATAGATTTTTTAAATTTATTATAACATTGTATATTATTTTTGTTATTGTTCTGCAGTGGGACTTGGTGTGCGGCCGGTTCCAACTGTCCAACATCGCCCAGTCGGTGTTCATGTTGGGCGTACTCATCGGAAACGTGTTGTTCGGTATGTTCTCTGACAAGTACGTATATTGTATTTTATTCATGTATTTAAGTATAAAAATAATATTATTTTTTTGACACAAATCGCTGTTAATTTCAATTGTAGAGTATTTGTGTAGTCTATATTAAAAAGTACTTCTCTTTTTTATTCTATACGTACTATATAATAATATACTGTACACTAAATGTCTGCATATATATACAGTCTTAAATTAGAAATTAGAACGAGTAATTTATTATAAACATCCGATTTAGGTACATTGTTTATGATTTGTGAAATTGTGAATTAGTTTCAATTGAAAATAATACATGACTCAAACAGTCAAACCTTGCTTATAAGTTATAACTATTTTCAGCCGTAGGCAGGTACCTACATAAAAAAACATATTGAACGAAAATTTAAGCAAAATTATATTGTACACGGAGAATAAAAAAATTATAATTTTTGAGCACCTATTCGTACATTTTGTTTGACTAAAAACACTGAAATACACTAATAAGACTACATATTATATATAGATATTAAGCATGACGTCCGCAATGTACCGCATGCAATGCGTATGAATATATAAAATATAAATACCTAAAGTATAATAAATAAGGAGGATATTCAGTCATAAAAGGTTAAGGAACACTGAAAATAACGAATACAAACGAAGTACTTACGCAGAACTAAGGGAAACGTTCAATAAACCCAATATAGGTGTTCTAAAAATATGTTGGAAACTTAGCTGGGCAGGGCATGTGTGGAGATCGGAGGACAGGATAGTTCACAAGGTCACAATGTGTAACTTATAGATGGAATAAGACAAAGATGACGACGGTGGTGTGACCTAGTCAGAGAATATCTTAAACTCCTAGGATTTAGGGATGGAGAAAAGGTCAGAGATGAGTGGCGAGACATAGTGGAAGAGGCGAAGGGTATTATGGCCTCGAAATAAGCTAAAAAAAAAATATGTAATTATTTTAATAATGCATATTTAGTATCTGTATGAAAAATAATGATGTTCAACACGTGTGTAATAAAAAATGCTTTGATGTTCTTAGATATGGTAGAAAATTACCAATGATGTTCGCTATTGTCCTTTTACTCGTTGCCGGGGTCGGCACATCGTTAGCTCCTTGGTACGAGCTATTCCTGCCACTTAGATTTGCGACTGCGTTAGCAATTGGAGGTCTAATGATTAGTAGCTTCGTTTTAAGTGAGTATCAAGCTTATAATTTATTTATAGGAATTAGAATATAGCGTGTTCTGAAAATTGGCTTAGGTATTTAAAATTCCGTTTTACCTGCACACCGCAATTCAATTTTCCGGTATTAACTATCAATGACATAATTATATTATATTTTAAAAAAGATTTACATGGTAAAATAAATAAAAATCCTATTTAAATTATTTAAAATTTAAATACAAAATAATATAGGTAAGTACCTAGTGCATCCGTCTCTTGTACCATTAAAACGTAATGCAACCAACCTTGTAATAGCAAAAAAAAAATAAAAATAAAAATATTAGTTTGGGTAATTGACCGTGAATACAGAAAAATTACAAATAATTGTATGGACTGTGGTAAACCACATAATATAATAATTTGTTTTTAGCTTCCGGAAAACTATAATCTTCTAACCTATTACAGTATTTAGAATATTTCGTTTTTACTTTTTAGTAACTACGTAGTAGTGGGGATATAAATGCTGTAAACCGTCAATAAACATAATATTATACATTTATTTTTAATCTCAAAATAATTTTTCAATAAATTATTTGAAGGTTTTAAATTGTAATGTAGAATAATGAATCATTAAAATAACGATGATTAGTTTAAAAACATTTAATAATTTTATTGAATGGCGTAACTGATTGATGGAAACATTACACGTCTTGTTAATATACCTACGCTATGGATCTGTCCAAGCGTTAAAGTTATTATTCATACCTACAACCTATATTCAAAATAATTGTGTTTGTGTGATCATCCGCAGCTATATACTTATAAAGCAGTCAGTAGACCAGCTACATACTGGCTAATCCTAACTTAACCTGGCCTATTTTGTCATAATATTGTCTTGTCAATCAATTGTCTAGGTCAACCTTCATATGCCCCATAATTGTATTGGTGGATACAGGTGTCAAACTGTAGACTATGTGTTATTTAGGTATATGTAATCAATTATTTAAATCTAAGTTGAAATAAAGTTTTAAATATTTAAAAATGTTGCTCTAACATATCAATTCTAATAATTGTTAATAAATATTATTAAAAGTAATAATAAATCATTTTTTTTGTTTTAATAAATACAGCCATGGAAGTTGTGGGCGGGAAATGGCGAACAGTGGTTAGCACGTTGCATCATATCCCTTTCAATTTGGGCCACATGAGCATGGCTCTCATTTCGTATTTCATTAGAAATTGGAGACAATTTCAATTGGCTATTACCCTGCCCTCGTTGTTTTTCTTCACGTATTGGTGGTGAGTACCCACACATGTAATATTCTTTTTCGCAAACCACCGTAAGCCCGAGCGTGCAATATCTGTGGGAGGTGTACCTTGAAGTTAGAACCACCTACAGAACGTAATTTATTGTGAAGGATAATACCGGAAAGTCCGCGATGGCTGTTGGCAATGGGCAAGGAAAAGCAGGCCCGGAAAATACTGACCGCGGGCGCCTCGAGGAACAACCGGAAGCTGGACGGCGAGTTCGAAAAGTCGCTGATGAACAGCCAGCCTGGAAAGGGCGCCGAAGAGAACAAGGGCAATCTGTTCGACCTCTTCCGGACGCCCAACCTGCGGAAGAAGACGCTGGCCGTGTTCTTCAATTGGATGGTGTGCGGGCTGTGCTTCTACGGTCTGGCGCAGTACATGGGCGAGATTGGCGGCAACATATTCGTCAACGTCGCGTCGTCTGGGCTCATCGAGTTGCCGGGCGCGTTCTTGTGCATATACCTGTTGGAGAAGTTCGGCCGGAGGAACACTCTGCTGTCGGCCAACCTGGTGACGGCCATGGCCTGCATACTGATCACGTTCCTACCTCAGAGTGAGTAATTCGACGATGGTATTGCTTAAACACGTCAATTAGGTGTACTGTGCGTACCCTATACCTATAATAAAAACCGAATAACGACTGGGCCCGTACTATTTTATATTATATAGATACCTACGTACATATAGCACCATCAAAACATATATTATTTGTAACATAATATAAACATGAAAAAAAAAACAGTATTTTGAGATAATATTATAGAGCTAAATTTAATGTTGAAAGATGTTAAATAACATTATGTTCATAACACAGAGTATTTTACATCCAAAATTACAATTGGGATACGCGATACGCCATATTAAATATTATTATGAAAAATACTCAAGTGATGTGTTATCGTTAAAAACGTAAACTTTGTCATACTAAATCAGCTATTCAAGACGTATATAACTTAAAACAAACAATATTTGACTTATTATATCTAATGTTCTGTAGATTTATGGTATGATATATCTTTATATTATGTAGGTATTTAAATGAGTATGCAGCATGCATATAGAAATAATTATACAGCTTTAATTAACCAAACACCCAACAGTTTTGTCCATGGGGTAAATGCATCGATGATTATAATATATTATGATTCGATTACACGAGGTTTGGCGAAACGATCTACTCTAGACAGTTTATTCTACACAGTAGAATTTGCATGCAATTACGTACTATTATTCGTATATGTTATACATACTTATTTTCCGTTATAAACTTCTTTCGAATACCTGAAAACACTTTTGTAGTATAGGTTCAATAGGTAAATGTATCAATAAATATTATTCCGAATTTTAAAGTCCAAGTACTAAAATAAGTACTAAAGTACCCACATAATTACATATGCACGCGAAAGAGAAACTGCTGATGCAGTAGTGAAACCTGCCATTATTCATTAATAGGTAATCCTATAATAGTACCTATTTATGAGTATATTATGCTTGACTCGGTCCTCCTTTAATCGGTCGAACCAATCCTGGTTAACTTACTGATAGTGGGTAAAGGGTGGTGGTTGAAAGAAGCAATAATTTTCAACCTCGGGAAACCATTTTAACTTTGAAGTAAATTGTTTTTTTGTTACAGTTTCTTATTTAAATTTAAATCTTATGGCAAAAAATTACCAATTAGGTTATTACTTATCGTGTTCTAATGTTGTATAGTACTTTTGCATAAAATAAACTAAACTTATTCTGATTTACTGGTGGCATTAAAGCTCAACTCGCCACAAGGTCGAACTTGATGGTCACTAGTCAACTGCAGCAGATGCGCTTCAATTATAGGTGACCAAATTGAATTTAATATCGATATATTGATACATAACTACAAGAGTGACATTGTGAAAATATTGATGACAGTTGAAAAAATGTAAAACAAATGTATTCTAATTAATTTATTTACAGACGTTATTTTACTCTTTAGTCAGTCATAATATATTATATATTATGTGATATAATATATTTTATTTATAATTAAAAATGAATTGCTTTTTGTTAATAATTAATAACAGTAATAATTATACAATAGGTGGGGCTATGTAAATATATCGAATTATAAATATCGATACCATTTGGGTGTCTCTAACGGCTATAACTTCAATCCTACTGACTTAGTATGATATGATTTGTACGTGTGCCCACCCCCCCCCCCGTGTAATTAATACCTAAATGTCGCGTGTGCTTTGCAGATTCCGAAGTGGAACATTTCAAGTTCATATTAGCGTCGCTGGGCATAGTTGGATCGTCAATAGCTTTTCCAACCATATATCTGTTTAGTGGAGAACTGTTTCCGACTGTGGTGCGCAACGTCGGTGTTGGGTCGGCGTCCATGTGTGCAAGGATTGGTTCCATAATAGCTCCATTCGTCTCGTCTCTGGTAATTGTACTTAACTGCACGCAGATGACCAGCGCTCGACTTCTACGTTCCAAAAACCAATAAAAAACTTTATTTTGTAAAATGAACAACACGAATGACAACATTTAAAAATAACATAAACGTTGTCCAAAACAAAGAACAAAATAGTTTTCTTAAGAAAAATTCAAACTAATACACTCAATTTGACAGGCATTAATATTTAATTTTTCTCTCAAAATAATAGCGTATAATTAATATCTGTGCTTAAATTCGTAGTCTCTATTCGAATATGCATGCACGGTGTATTGCGCATATCAGTTCAAGTCACTTCAAGACATTCAAGTACCTATACCTACCTATTGTTTTAAAACATGACGTTTTTTATCTTCAAAATATATTCTTAGGGTGTTAGAATAAAAACAAGTCCGTAAATAGTAAGACGTTCTAAAACAAAATTAGTAATTACAGACTAAGCATACCACATAGGTAGGTACACTTGAGTAAACAATCAATGAAACTATTAAGATAGTAAATTAACTGTTTAACGTAACCACCGTCTCCGTATAAGTGTGAACCTATATTTCGTATGAATCAAACGAAAAACTATATTATATTATTATATTATATTGATCGAAAAAACGGAAATCGGATTCGACATCGCCTGCACGAACAAGTCATCGAGCCCTGGCGGATCAGCAATATTAATAAGTCTATTATTAATATTGTGATGTAGATCACACGCGGCGAAATGATCTACCGTGAAACTCACGGTGTTGTCTTTTTTAGGGTGTATTCAACGTGTACTTACCGCCAATGATTTTCGGCACGGTGCCACTAATTGGAGCTCTCCTGTGTCTATTGTTGCCGGAAACGAGAGGTGCGCAATTGCCGGTGACCATTGAAGACGGAGAACGTTTCGGGCTCAAATTAAAGTATGTATCACTTAATAAAACATTATTATTATTAATGTTAGGTACATCTATGTATACAATTGTATGAAGACACCTAGTGCGAGTAAGTGGTTCAATAATAAATATAATATAATATATCAATATTAATTCAATAATACATACCTATTACCTACCTAATAGTAATACTATTTTGTTAGAAAAATACTTTTACTATGTATAATAAACTATTAAGTACTTGCTTGGTTTTCCTTTATGTTAGCTCTTTTAGGGGTTTCAATTGATAATTTTGTATCACACAAACTTTAAAGTTTTTTAACTCGGCCACAAGAAGTTATTATAGTTGTTATTAAAATAATAAAAAAATTACGAATTCATAGACACGGTAAACACAAAAATCATAAATTTCGAGTTGGGGCCTTATTCTACCGATAGTGTTAATATTTTTAATGCCTTAAAAACATTTTTTCAGTATATTATTTTAGTTTCGAGCGGTCTTCAGTGCTTGAATTTTGGGACTCATAGGGACGGGAACGGAGCCCTCTGCTTTTTTAAAAACATTTTAGCTTACCCTTCTTATTATACCATATAATCATTAATCAATAATATACTATTATCAGGTAGACACATTTTTTTTACATTTTTGCACTCCCCTCCTAATTTTTTTTCAAATACAAGCACTGGTATTGTATTGTGATCGTCAAAAATTCTGTATATAATAAATTACTACTACCGATATGGCAAGTGGCAGCTATAATCTTATATCTCGAGTTTATCACCTGATACACATCATACTTCTCTCCCCCAACCCCCGAAGAAGATCTTGAGTACCTGGTGGCGGGTGGGTATGTATTTAAAATGATTTTTATTAAATTCGATCTACACAGTAAATTGACCATAACCGCCTCGGAATATGGCAATATGACAATAAAGTATAAACCTATTTTATAAACTTATATTATAATTTACAATATATACCTTAGAGTATCTGAGTATGTGTTGAAAAGAGTAAAAAAGTTTAACAAAGTATCTGTTACAGAAAATCACCAACAAAGACTTTAGAAAACGGAACACACAATTCAGGATTTGTAGCCGACGAACAATTGTAACACCAAACGATTTGTGAATATATTATTGTATTGTATTTTATTATTATATTAATATATTATATCATACAGCGATATACGCTGTCGGTTATACCTACATCATTTGTTATAAAAAAAATATAAATTTATATTATATTACAAGCATACAAAATATTGTAAATATTGACTATTTTACGGTCAAAAAAGGGTTATAGTATTGTATAATAGCGAACTCGTCTGTGTATTTTTTCATATTTCTCACAAAAAAAGTATAAATTTTATATTAGATATTTTTGTATACATTTATATCGATATGTATTCTTTCATGTAAATCTTTGCTATTTATGTTATTACATTGTGATATAAGCTTGACAAATATTTAATAAAATTATTTTTGAAGATACTTGTATTATAACACAATATTGCATTCCAACTACTGCAGAAACTACACGTTTCCAAAATAATATAAAAATATACCTCTATAAAAATTACATACAACACTCAGCAAAAAAAATTGTCCTGAATTTTTACTATTTTTAAAATAAATACAATTATAATTGTTTGATAATTGATATTAATAACGATTAGTATTATGCGCATACTAGCATGGTCTTGAATTCTAAAAGCCTTTCGTCACCCTAACGTTTAACTATAACTAGCATATAATATAATTTTATGTTAGGTCTATTGAGCAAGATAATAGTTATGCCCTTGTAAATGTGAATAAAAATCAACAAACAGAATATTACAATTTTCAAGCGCTAAAAATGATCACAATAAAAATAGAAGGATCCCAACATTAGGATGAAGAGGAGGTAGGTACTAGGTATATCCATGTAAATAAAGGGTATACCCAGATAGCAAGATAAAATTTTTTGATTGTCTATATAGGTACTTACGTATTTACATTACTGTTAATAAGTTAAGTTAAATGAATATATTTTTTTTTACAATTGACAGATTTAGATATAAATTTAAAATAAAATATTTATATAAATTTATATTTAATATAAATTTATAATACAGGGTGATTTTTTAAGAATGTAAACCCTAGTATATGTAAACCCCTTATGCTTAAATTATGCATATATTATATTCAAATTCTGATTTTTGGAATTCTTAAATACACTCGAAGTCTGTATTTTCAAATTCTTGAGATTATTTTGTACCACTAAGGAAGATCCTGTGACAATACAAACTTCCGTTTTTATATAATAGGAACCCACCTTTTTAGTTTTTAATTACTAAACAGATATATTTTTTAAGAACTTTGATATAAATTGAAAAAAATCCAAGCGACTAGTTTTTGAGTTATATAACTTTGTGTACAAAGGATAATATTATGCAGACTATGGTAATGGATTAAATAGATATGGGACTTATATGATTTGAAACAGTTAGTAATAAAATTACTAATTAGTAAGTAGTGACTCATGTCTATAAAATATTATTGTACTTTTCTTATAGTAAAATGTTTTGATACTTTATTATTATCCTTTTTTTTAGGGTTTTATTCAAAACGTAGGCATTTTACAATTTTTTATTATAATTTACTATTAAGAGTATATGACCAAAAAAGACATGGCAATTTATTATAAGTGGATGCCGTTATGTAAGTTTGTTTAATATTATATTATATTCACACAAATGACAAAAGCTTAATTCTACTGTTTTAGATTCTGAGTGAAACGATGAATGTATTGATTTTACAATGATGTGTGTTTTTAGATTCTGAGCCAGATTCTGAAGCGTGGCCATCTTGGCGTGGCCATTTTGGCGTGGCCACTTTGGCGTAAACCAATTTGGCGTATGGCAATTTTGGCGTATAGTTATTTCGGCGTAAGACTATTTTGGCGTTTTGGACTAATATGATTAGTACCTATACGAGTAATATAATAAATAATAAATAATAATATAATTATCATGTATAATAATTAATAGAGTAGGTTGATAAAAATAATAATAAATATAAATGTATATAAATAAAATGTAATTGACTTTGAAAGTTTTAGTTTTGAGTAGGTTCAATTGATATAAATGTATTAGGTAATAAAAAAGTTATTTACTTTAGGTTAGGTTAGTTCATATAAATAAAAAATATAAATATAAATGTATATAAATAAAATGTAATTGACTTTGAAAGTTTTAGTAACAACTTATATTTTGAGCTATTCCCCTTAAACAACTGATTAGTAAATATTAAATTTTATGACAACTGATTACTGATAACTGATTACCCGCAACATACACGCACAGACGACAGATATATCAGTCTGCTTTTGTAGTTTACATAGTAAATATAGTAATATAATATTAAATATTTTATTACGCCAAAATCTAACGCCAAAATAGTCTTACGCCAAAATAGTTTTACGCCAAAATAGTCATACGCCAAATTGGTTTACGCCAAAATGGCCACGCCAAGATGGCCACGCCAAAATGTCCGGGTCCGCAAAATTGGTTTTCCAAACAATCGATTTTGATTATTGGTGTAACTCTAAAACAAATGAACGTATATACATGAAATTTTCACTGGTTGTTTATATTTGCATTTTCTATACACGATAACATTTTCAAAATATTTTGATTTATTTTGAACTGTTTAGGGACATTTTCATTTTCCATTTTTTTTTAGTTTTTTTTCTAAAAATATCAATAAAATTTTATTTATTGGTTGCGAAAGCTTGAAAATTTAATAGAAGGCTCCTAATATGTTGTTTCAAAGGCAGATGAAAAATATTAAAAATCCTTAGTCACAATTTTTTTTTATAAGCATTTAAAGTTCAAAAATTGACAAAATATGGAAAAATCACGAAAATTAGCAAATTATTTTGAGTTAAAAATTCGTAAAAATTTTTCTTTTTAAATCTAAGATTTGAAAATGAAACACAAGATTCCTTATAAGATTATCTACCTTTATCAATAAAAAAATCTCTACCGGACAGTCAAATTAAATTTTATGAGCGTTTGAAATTCAAATTTTTACAACATTGGATTTTCCCTCGATTTCTCATGTAGCGATTTCCTTATTTTGTTGTAATTCAAAAACGAATAACTGTAGATACATGAAAATTTCACTGAATGTTTATATTAGCATTTCCTATACACCATACAATTTTGAAAATATTTTGACTCTTTTTGAGCTGTTTATGGACATTTACAGCTTTCAATTTTTTTTTGTTTTTTTTTCTATAAATATCAATAAAGTTTTATCTGTTGGGCCAAAAAGTGTAAAAATTTAATACAAGGCTCCTGATATATTGTTACAATATCAGTTGAAAAATATTAAAAATACATAGGCACGATTTTTTTTTATAAGCATTTAAAGTTGGAATTTTGACAAAATTTATCAAAATCTCGAAAATTATCAATCGTTGGAATTAAAAAATTATAAAATGTTCAGTTTTTATAACTAAGAGTTGAAAATTTAAAACAAAGATTCTCTTAAATAATTCATACTGTAACCAAAAAATCTAAAAAATATATAAACACACTTATTTTTTACAGTCATTTTAATTTCAAATTTAGACAAAATTTCATATTTAAACCAAGAATTACGATTTTAGTTATTTTGTTGTGATTGAATAATACTATTCGTGGGTACTTGAAACTTCTAAAGTGTACTATTATATATCTATGATAGTATCACGGTTTTTGTTGATGTATAACGCGTTATAAGTATCTAATGGATATTGTGATATGATTAATTTTGGAATTTATTATAGGTACCTACTCGTATTATAGGTCAATTTTTTTTTTAATACCATAGAAATGTATATAATATGTGTTAAACCTATACTGACTACCGTCTCCACTCAGAATCGTTTTTCTTATACAATGATATTATATCATTGAATTCAAATTTAATACCATCCATTATACAGTGACCCACTTGTAACCTACTGTACAGCAGAGCGACACCCACTTGCCCACCTTTTTTATTTTTTTTTTAATTTTTTAATTTTTTTTTGTGTCTGTCATCACGTTTTAGGACAGTAAAAGTGCTTGGATTTTCTTCATCAGTAGCTTTTCTGATAGGAAAGTGAATCTAGTTGGTACTTTGGGGGTCAAAAGTATAAATTTCCCAGTAGTTTTCACAAGCGCCGGGAAAAACAACATAAAAATTAAGGAAAAACGGGAATTTTTACGCAAAATTAGTTTTCCAAAAAATCGATTTTGGTTTTTGGTGTAACTCTGAAACAAATGAACGTATATACATGAAATTTTCACTGGTTGTTTATATTTGCATTTTCTATACACGATAACATTTTCAAAATATTTTGATTTATTTTGAACTGTTTAGGGACATTTTCATTTTCCATTTTTTTTTAGTTTTTTTTCTAAAAATATCAATAAAATTTTATTTGTTGGTTGCGAAAGCTTGAAAATTTAATAGAAGGCTCCTAATATATTGCTTCAAAGGCAGATGAAAAATATTAAAAATCCTTAGTCACAATTTTTTTTTATAAGCATTTAAAGTTCAAAAATTGACAAAATATGGGAAAATCACGAAAATTAGCAAATTATTTTGAGTTAAGAATTCGTAAAAATTTTTCTTTTTAAATCTAAGATTTGAAAATTAAACACAAGATTCCTTATAAGTTTGTCTACCTTTATCAAAAGAAAAATGTTTATAAGAAAGTCAAATTAAATTTTTATGAGCGTTTGAAATTCAAATTTTTACAACATTGAATATTCACTCGATTTCCCATGTAGCGATTTCCTTATTTTGTTGTAATTCAATAACAAATAACTGTAGATACATGAAAATTTCACTGAATGTTTAAATTAGCATTTTCTATACACCATACAATTTTGAAAATATTTTGACTCTTTTTGAGCTGTTTATGGACATTTACAGCTTTCAATTTTTTTTAGTTTTTTTTTCTATAAATATCAATAAAGTTTTATCTGTTGGGCCAAAAAGTGTAAAAATTTAATACAAGGCTCCTGATATATTGTTATAATATCAGTTGAAAAATATTAAAAATACATAGGCACAGTTTTTTTTTATAAGCATTTAAAGATCAAATTTTGACAAAATTTATCAAAATCTCGAAAATTATCAATCATTGTAATTAATAAATTATAAAATGTTCAGTTTTTATAGCTAAGGATTGCAAATTCAACACAAAGGTTCTCGTAAATAGTTCATACTGTAACCAAAAAATCTAAAAAATATATGAACACAGTTATTTTTTACAGACATTTTAAATTCAAATTTGGACGAAATTACATATTAAAAAACCTAGAATAACTATTTTAGTTATTTTGTTGTGATTGAATAATATTATTCGTGGATACTTGAAACTTCTAAAGTGTACTATTATATATCTATGATAGTATCACGGTTTTTGTTGATGTATAACGCGTTATAAGTACCTAATGGATATTTTGATATGATTAATTTGGAATTTATTATAGGTACCCATTATAGGTCAATTTTTTGTTTAATACCATAGATATGTATATAATATGTCTTATACATAGACTGACATACCGTCTGCGCTCAGAATCGTTTTTCTTATACAATGATATTATATCGTCGAATTCAAATTTAATATCATCCATTATACAGTGACCCACTTGTAACCTACTGTACAGCAGAGCGACACCCACTTGCCCACCTTTTTTTTATTAATATTTATGTACAAAATACAATAATTACAAATTATTACATATATAAATACAATAATGAACCAACGAAATAATAGAGATGAAACACAGTAAGTTTTTGAAATAATATAAATATTTTCACATGAATTGCATTTATATTTACAATTGTATTTATTTTAGTAGATTATGAAAACAAAAATTAAAATAAGATTTATATGAATAAGTTATTAAATGATCCTAGTATATTTTATTTTTGGGCCCTGTAGAAATTTCAAATTTGGTTAGTAAAGGTTTAGTTTACCGTCTTGTAATTTCCATTGTTAATCTGTTTGTATTTTTTTAATCCATTTGTTAATCTGGGCATCGGACTGCTATAGGTACTATATAATGTATTGCCTATGTGTTTGATTTCAGGCGCTTTTACTAAATTTGTTTTAAATTAGCTTACAGTTAAGTCTTAAGTGTAATCCATTCTAAAGGAGTAAAAAATAGGCATATTATATTTCAGTTTATATGGGTTTTGTGAATGTGTTGAAAGTAAATGAACATTAGTGCGTGTTATTCGTAGTACCGATCACGTTGTATAGGGGCATCATAGTGACCGGATAATATGTACGTCTGTCATTTTACTTACGCGCATGCACATGTCACTATTTATTACTTTATACAATTACAAACATTTTTTTCTCAAAAAATACTGCCAGTGACTACTTTTAGTCATGATTTAAATTTTGAAAGCAGATTTAAATTCATCTCTAAATTTACTATGCTTTAAATGTCGTACTTTTTTCATATTCTATATCAATGTATTTACATTTTAATTATAAATAATATGATCTATTTTTACTCTTTTTGTTAGTAAATTTATAAGTAAAAAAAATTAATTGTCAAAGCACAGTTAATTTAGTGACGAATTCAAATCTGCTTTCAAAATTAATAACAGAACATTATATTGGGCGTAGTGATTGAAGTTATGAGCTATGTTTTCGACAGAAAATGAATCACGCCCCCTTAAAACTTAAATCAAATTAATTGTATAATATTAAAAAAATGCCATTAATTATAAATCTAATTTTGTTTTTTATATAAATATATTTTTAAATAAAATTTTTTTTAGCACATATTGATTAAATATGTTTAGTCAACTAGCTAGTTTTTATAATACGTACATGTACATTTATATGACTATATCTACAATTAAACCATAATCAAATAAAAATTTAAAAAACAAAACTAAATCAAAGTATACATAGAAAAATATTAACAGATTATGTACAAATAAATATTCCATTTACGATTTTACATTAAAACGTTTTAATTCTAAACGAGATTTTAAGTATTACCTAAATTATAATATAACTTGTAACAAGGTAGTAATAGTAATAATTATTTTAATATACATAATAATTACCTACTTGATATAGTACATATTATAGAAATTATCATTTATCATCATTATTTATGAACTACTACCTAACTTTTAAATTGACTTTTAACTTGTGGAAGGCACTTGTGTAGGGTTTGTAATTTTCCCGGCCAACATAATTAGTCCTGTTAATTTGTTATAAACAAAAAATACAAATGGCCTGTCAAATACTACTTTAGTGGCAATTCCTCGTTTTTGTCTTGAGGCTGACGGACGAATACCTGAAACAAATTAAATATACCAACACTTAAGTAAATTGCTAAAAATGTGTTTCGGAAATGTAAGTATATCTATTATTTATACAACTTAATGTTTAAAACCAATATTTTTCTTTTTGAATAATGTATTTAAAATATCAAAATACAAGAAAAAATTAATCTATTTGAAAAGATATCCGGTAAAATATATACTTACAGTTATTTGATTGATAAATATCCAAAATTTAATATATTCTATTATAAGTAACGGTTACCGCAAAAAAGTAATAGCAAGGTTTCAAAAAATGTCCTATCTTTATAAACGCTTCACCACCGATCTCCTTAGTAAAAGCAATGCTCGTTACAAATAAAATTCCATTTTTTATCTTTAGGTACTCGTGTAGTAGGTACAATATAGATTTGCTAATTCTGCGGTTTCCTGAGTCATCACTCCTCACTCTGTCACTGCTCGTCTGAATAAGGCTTATGGTAAATAATTACAATTACCATAAGCCTTAGAAATGTATTTTATTTATTTAAGTATTTAGGAATTCATCTCTTAACAAACTTGAACGTAATTACGTAACTTATATAGTTTTAGTTTTAAATAAGTGATTAATATTTATATGCATATCGGCGTATACATAAATAAAATAGTATATGAGCAAATGAAGGGAACGATGGTCTTTAGTTATCAAAACTTATTTCTTAAATACTCGCTGTAAACATGTAAACCTTCCATGATTAATTATACAGAAATCGATATCGAAATATACATAATAATTTAATATATCATCACTCATTAAATGCGTGAAAATAGACTTATATTATAAACATTTAACATACTTAATATTATTAACGACACGTTGATAATTAACTTATACATAATTTATAGCCTTCATAAACATAACAAAACATTAAATAGGTTATTGCAGATGTGGAGGGAGGTGCGAGGTGGTTGTATGTATTCGTATTACTATTTTTTCAGTTATAGTTTAAACCGAATGCATGTACGAAATTGGTCAAGAATTATAGTAATATTATATATTTAAAATGGTTTTCATGACGCGGTTAATCGAAGCAATCAGCGTGTAATAGACACATTGCGCATTTGGTTATCCAGTATAGGTTTTGCTTTCGAAAATTAGTTAGGTTAGGTTGCTACGATTAAGATCTATTATGTATAAAATAATATATTTTTTTTATCAAGGACAGTAATAGAATGTGGGAATTTTAAATTAAAATATAAAGTATTACATACATTATACAAACGGGTGTTGTGTGAAATTAAAATAACGCGTTATTATAAGTAAGTATACAAATAGATAGCAAATATATTATACCCATCGACTACAAACTATTGACTATTGTATATTACTACTATAATAGCTGGTTGCTACCTAATAACACTGCAAGCATAGAAATACAGCCGTACAGGTATAATAGGTACCTATGGTATATTATACGATACCAGCTATACAATAACGAATACATTTTAGCATTATCGTTTTAAATCTTGGATAATTTGAGATATCAAATAATTATAGATAATTGTATGTCGAATAATATAAATAACACCGAAAAATGTGCGTTGAATAATGTTAACTAGGTATGTAAAAATGTAAAATATCCAGGTGTTAATACTGACTATTAATTTAAATGGAATATCCATATTATTAAATTAATAATGCAGTGAGGAAATGTGAGCCTGTAAGGCTATACTTATCTTCAAAGATTATAGTCTAAATAATTTAAATGCATTATATAATAAAAAAAGTAGATAGTTTATGTTTAAATTATTGCGACTTCTTCAGATAGATATAATATGCTATAGGTACATTGGTACAATAAATTTAGTTCAGTTGGTAGGTTTTGGTATTCCCAGAATGAGTAGTAATATTTAAGAGTTTTTATATATAAATTGTTTGTTATATTAAGAAAAAATGTTTTCCTCACTAAAAATGAATTTATCTTCTTTCACTAATGACTTTTTATTATACAAAAAAAATCGTTATTTGTTAATACTATAATTTTTTATCTTTAAAAAATGTTTGATATTCTCCCCATATTTTATTTTTATTAATTTTTTTACCTTTATTTCCTATACTCACATTACGGCCATAGGCTTTAGTGAGTAGAAGACCGTAATTTATTGAAATTAAATTATATAACCATTGTTATTAACGGTAAAGTAACGTTATTGTTATCATTAATACAATAGGTATACAACATATTAAGATACTTAGTACCGACCTAACTTTGTGCCGACGGAGCCGACGGAATTGATCGTGATGAACGACATTGAAAAGTACGCGTTCTGTTTCATCGACACCAACGTGACTGTGGGAGACTTGGACGCGTGATCGCGACTCGTCGATGAAGTCTTATTATTGTTGTCGGCACTGACCGTCTGGTTGAAGGCTGCCTTGACGCCGAGCTTCTTGAAGAACGGTTCCAAATCCAGACCGTTGGTGAATGCAGCCAACTGCGGCAACAGAATCTCTGTGTCCTGGTATCCCAGCGAATCCAGGATGTTCAGGAAGTTTTCTTTGGACAGCCGCTCGATCATTAACTCGGAACCGTTAACGTCGTCCGGCATCATGATAAGCATGCTCACTTTGTCGGTCTGTGAACGGAAAAATATGACCCACAGTGATAAAAATAATGATTTATGTTTACAGTTTGTACCAGCATATTAATATTATTATGTATTTATACAGAAACTAGATGAGTGACCCGACTTCGCCCAGGAAAAACGAAATAATACGGTGCTATATCGGTGTATCTGGCTTTGTCAACTAATTCGATCGAGATAGGAAATCCATCCGAGGCATATTGGATTTTACAGCACTTTCGTAAAAATCAGTCGTGCGGTTTTTGAGTAATTATGTAAATATAAGCTATACAAACTTAAGGGCATTGCCTTTTGTTGAACATTTGAATAACAAAAAATGAATTAAGTATTATTTTATAATAAAAAAAACATATAGCAAGATATGGTTCGGATAGTCCATAAAAATTTTATGTTTTTTAATTTGTATTTCTGTGACAATTGGCAACCTCATATCATATAAGCAAAAATGTATTCGATTACCATGAGCCAAAACGAAATGTGTGCGTGAACCACCCTAAAAAAACATATAGAGGTTGGGAAAAGAAACTCCTAGTCTCAAGGAATCTATTGATATATATTTTGTTGAAATCGGTCCAGTAGTTTCTGAGGTTAGTGCTTTCAAACATACAAACTCAGAACAGTTCAGCTTTATAATATTAAATAATAATTAGTCTAGACTATGGATTAATCTATATTCTATACAAATACATAAAGTAGAAAAATTGTTTGTTTGTTCGGGGTACCTAATCTCTGAAACAAGGTACTTCACCGATTTTAAATTTTTTTTACCATCAGGAAGCCACACCATCCCAATGATATATATTAGGTTTATATTAGGCTATATTTTATCTCAATAAGTGGCACTCAACTTTTTGAAGTTATACTTCTTTAATCTTCTTTAGGATAGTGAGGAAAAAAAAGCGAACGGGCGGCCGTACGAACGCGAAAGCGTACATGTCCGTAAATAAATAAATATTGTCATGGTAATGTTGTTTTATTATATATTATAATATATATATATATATATATATATATATATATTATAATCGGGCCATACTAATTAATATGAATAATTAATGATTGATTATTATTTATTTTTATTATTATTATTCACTCACAAATCTATTGTCTGGATAAAAACAATACTACAAACAATTATCCATCGATCTGTCGAATAAAAATATAAAAAAAATAATAAAACTATCAATAATAAATAATTCCGGATACTTCTTCTCATTTTTTAAATTAATTAATATTTTTTTCTTTCTTTTTCACTCACTCACGTGTACCATTCGAAAGAAGTTTAACTTCCCGCGCGCGTACTGGTAACACACATGGCATTTTTTTTTATTGCAACATTTGAGAATTTTTTATAGAAATAATAGAATTAATAATATATTTAATATTTAGTATGATTGAATATAATTTTAGACCTGTATTTTATATTTTTTCTAAACCATCAAAATGAGTGAGACTGCTAACCACTATAACCACTGTTATGACTGTGTTAAGAATCATTATTGTAGATTAAGATGGGGTAAGTACAAGGACATTTGTCACAGGAAGTTTTGAAGTTGAAATTTGAACATCACTATGCCGGGCATTAAAATATGATGAATTAAACACCAATTATGGATCATAATACAGAGATGGTATTTTTAACGGGTGCAACGAAATGCACGGGATCAGTGCTAGTATATTAAAATGATGACTAATAACAACTCTGTGTCTTCGGATTTTTTTGGAATTTCCTATTTTATTATCTCAACTATATAGTGGTTAGGGTTTATTGATGTTTTCGTAGAGTAGGTATTTATTTAAAAATTGAAATACAACAAATATAGGTATGTGCATCACCGATGATATCAAATTGTGCACGCGTGTACCTACCTATATGTTATTATTAATATTATTATTATTGTGATTTAGAAAACTCAATAACGAGAGTAGAGGTACCTACTGGCTACTTACACAATTTTTTTTTTAAATATACAACCCAAACTTTTTCTAACAAAAAAACATATTTTTTAGATATGAACCTGAATATCGAAAAAACCGAACTTGTATACTCGAAGAGTGGACTAGAAAAATCTGCTCGTCAGACCAAAGCGATAGTGTGGACTGTGGATCATAATCGTCATATGATTAGGTATGATATAAATATAACCTAATTATTAATTGTAATATTATGTAGAATAATATTAAATTGATTGTCTTATAGGTGTGCGCGATGACCTTTATATCATATTATATTATATATTGAGTCATTGAGATAACGCGATGAAAATCAATAATAATTCTTTACGGAATAACTTTAGACTACATCGCGAGCACACATGATATTTATACACTCGCTCAGTCGCTCTTGAAATTCCGCCAATACATGAGCATTTTGGCATTGAAAGACTCCATTGTCAAACATCAGTTCCATTGTTAAAATCTCGCAAAATACGCGATGTAAAATATTGCTTATTAAATGACCAGTGTCATAGGTTTTTCTTGACCAGCAAGTATAAATATTAATTAGTAATTAGTAATTTCTTTATATTATATCAAGGTTAAAGACAATGGAAACAATTGTCCAATAGAAATAGTGCCAACAAAAATATGTACCTGTTGTGTATATACTATTAAAATTAAGTGTAAAATAAATTAAATAGGTATTCAAACATATTAATTGAACATCAAATAATTAAAATAATATTGCAATCCTGTTTTAAAATATTAATTAAATTATTGAAATATTTATATGCATACCTAATATAATAAATCAATATTTTTTTCATTGATTTCAAAATTTGAACTTCTACGGTGATGTTAGAAATGAAATATCAATATTAATGGAATAATTCATCTTTGTGGTATAACACAAAATATTGCTATTACATTAAGTAGGTACTAATATGCGTACATGATACATAGTATAGAATAAAATGTAATATAGATAGGCTAATTTAAAAAGGGTTAAATTTGTTTTTTTTTATTTATTCATCTGATTTTAGCTTACGGTTGGTTTAGGATTTTGTATAGATTGATTATATTAATCCAGCCTAGGTGGAATTAAGCAAAAATGACAAACATGGTATAACTTTGATACTCAAGAGTTAAATCATACTCTTACGTGCAAACAGCACTGGGTCCTCGACACAGATTGCCTACCTGTTAATATACTGCTGTCCATCAGAATTTTTATTCTGGGCAACGGAAAAGTTAAGAAAAGTTTTGAACACCATAACACCGAATATTAAATAATGAATTGAACAAAGTTTGAGTCATGTAAAGTTGGTACATTTATTGGGCAACGAAGTTGATTTACCTTTTAACTTGGAAATAATACAATTTCCCGTTAAGTTGTCGTATGTAGTAAAAATTAATAAAGCACAGGGGCAAACATTAAATCACGTAGGAATCGATAGGAAACGTCAAAACAGTTTTAAACACGGACAACTACATGTTGCGTTATCAAGATCGGGTTGTGGCCGAAAATCAGTATGTTCTTCTACCGCAAAAAAATAAAATTAAAAATATCATGTACGGAGAAGCACCTACTTTAAAAAAATACTACAAATCATATAAATACATACATAATAACTATAATATAATATTTGAATAATATTATAGAGTTGTCATTTTTTACGAGCCACGAAGTGTGCAGGATTAGCTAGTGTAATTATATCTACCTAAGTCGTTAATTATTGTTAAATTATGATATACCTAATTATCAACTCTTGATATTTAGAGAGCCAATAAACTTAACTTGTATTAACCATAGATCGAGTGGATCCAACAATAATCACGAGCTTACCTCAAACATTAGTTCAGCGGCTAAACACTTTAGTTGTGGTACGTATCCGATTTTGAACATTCCTGTCTGTGGTATCATTGGGACGTGGACAATTGAACCGTCAGCTTTGGTAAACGGTGCTGATGGTTGATACGATAAGTAAGTGTACGTGGCTAGTTTTTGGTAATCTTTCCAGTGACTTATTATTCCTGTGTCACTCCGTAGTTCTAAAATATCAGCTGAAAATAAATCACATCTAAATTACTGAGTGTATAAGTATAGTATACTATTATGTATAACGTTAATGTAACATACCAAGTTAGTGTATAAAGGTATGATGTTAACTTAGATAATTCCTTTAACCGAAATTTAGATTCAGCTATTTTTAAATTGAGTGATAAATATTTATATATAACTAAACGTATTATGAAAATAGCATAAATTGTAAATTGTAGTTTTTCTTTAACGAAATAATTAATATCTGGTTGGAAACTAAATAGTAAATACAGATACTTAAAAAAAATTGTCTTGTTTCATAGAAGTATAATATTATGATGAAATTCTAAAAAAAAGTAACCCAATTGGTACTGCTATACGAAGAAATAGCGCCTGTTCAACACAAATGTTGGTAATTTTTGAGTGACCAAGCCCCATTTAAATTAACTGATGCTTTAAATTTTAAAATAACAATTTTCTGAGTAAACAAAAGAATAAATAATAAATTAACAATGACAATAATGATTTCTTCTGAAGTATATAAGTACCTAATCAGTAGTAGCACGAAGGTAATTTTTAAAGGCACAGGAAATAAGTTTCAGGAAGGTGAATGGATATATATAAGTAGGTTTCTAGTAAGGTAAAAATTATGTGTAAAATTGTCATTATAAATGTAGGTGCGTAAGTAGTACATATTAATATTTAATATTTGTATTAGTCTGGTCATAACCCATGACTCATGGGGTGGGTGTCAAAAATAATTGTAATCCTTCTATTATGTAATAATAAATACTTGTAAATTGTTAATTTTGTCATCGCTTTTTGGAGCCAATACAAACAATTTGACGAATGTGCATAGCGGTAAAATTTAAACGTGTTTGAAAAAAATCTTGTTCGTATTTTGCAATATCCACTATTTATATAATATATATAGCGGTAATGCTTGATATTTTAAATAATTAAATTTTTAAGAATAAAAATAATTGTATTAAAAATGTAAAACAGGCACTGTTTAACAAAATTATATTATTTTCAGTGCAAAACATAGAGAACTTTTAAACTTCAGGTTTATTATAGAATAAATACATCTATGTATTAACATTTCGTTTAAATTTCGAGATCGAAAAAATATTATGAAAAGTAAGTGATAATGATTTCAAAAATGAAAGTATTTCATAAAATGTTGAAATTATTTGTAACTTACTGTTCAATGTATTATTACACAGAATAATGTTAGTTATAAGGACATATAGTTTAGATGTTATTACTTAAGCTGTTATTCGAATTCTCGCTTCGCATCGTGGTAACGTTAGCTTGATAATATTTCGAAAGTCTGTTTATGTATGACGATGGCATAACCCGGGAGCTGGTCACAGATGCTTTGTTGTAGGATCCGGCAAAATCTCCGTCCGAATCATCCTATAAATATATTATTGTTTCGAATTAAAAATATGTTCAGGTAAGTACAAGATCCTAATAGTATTATACTATTATTATGAGACCAATTCGGTCCGACTGTTTCCGACGACACGACATTTTTTTCGGAAGACTTTCCTATTATGGTGATCTTAAATAGTAAATAATAATGGCTATTAACCATAGTAATTACATATAAGTCTTTGATGAATGTTTTTTAGCCTTACCCCAAACGTATCAAAAATCATTTTAAAACCTCTTCTCAGCTGTTGGCGCACTTCCTTTGCCTGGAGTCGGAACAGCGTGGTTACCTCTTCGGCGGCCCGACCTTGCAAGCCTTCCAGCATCATGGCCACGTTAGTTGCCACCCCGAAAGGCGCCAGAACCAGGTTGTCTCGGCCTCTGGAATAGTGCTGCATGTGCAATCAAATATATTATTATTGTAAAATTAAGCGAGAGCATAAAATGTAATTTTAACATGGGCGTGTTTTCGTGTCTAGCAACTCTGAACAGTGAATTAAGTTAATTCTAATCTGATTTTTAGAATTGTATACATAATATATTTAATAGGGTAACTGATTTCATGTAAGAAATTTCATAAAAATTATTCTTGGCCAGATTTGTAAAATTTATTTAAACACGCCTATAAACAGCGTAATAACCGCTTTACATAATATTATGCGACGGAGCCACGGAAGGTATTAAAAAATTGAAGAACAAAATTATAAAAACATAACACACGTTGAAGAGAGGAGGCACCAGGCTGTTGCTGAACTGAACTACCCGGATCACGTCCGTTGAGTTGGTCCATCCCGAAGCTGACACCGACGAAGACAGAGCAGTCACCGCAGCTATCAGCAAGTGCACTGAGACGGATGAAGTTATGTGTATGAACGGTGCTGCAGGAAATAAGATAAACAAAGGATTCGATCAGCACGCGAGTACATTGTATATTAATATTATGGTGAATAAAAATATAATATCAAAATGTGGTTTGTTATGTTATATTATATCGTAGTAATGTAGTATCATACAGATATAGGTAATCCAATGAAAAGGAATTTCGATGTGCGACGATGTACCTATTTAAATATAATTTATATATACAGTATACCTACACCGAAGCCGAGATAAAATATGTTTTGGCGATAAACTGAAATCTATAAAATCATAAAACCATATCATGCCCCGGGACGAAGATTACCTGTCGAGGATTGGACCGTGCTCCACCGAGCCATAGTTGTAGGAATTTGCTGCAAGCCCGTGCAATATTGTATGTATATATTGTATTCGTTCTGGTGACTCGCGAGGACTGATCGTCGTCGTCGCCTCCGTCCTCGTCGTGGTCGTGGTCGAAGTCGTCACAGCGTGTGGTACGCGTATCGGATAAAACAATATTAGAATATTATTATTATTATTATGATAACCATTAACTGGGTCAACAGCCTTGCAACCAGCCGGATTGGCGCAACTCGGCGCCGCGATAGACCGCGCACGGTAACCGAATGAAATGAAGAGTAGCATGTACGAGTGTGCAGTGGCTAAGAAGAGGGGCACCTATTATTATTATTATTATTATTATTATCTTATACCTGTAACTGCCATAATGTTATTATTACGTTATAATATTTATCCCACTCATGTGTTTTTGTTTGTTGTTATTTTACATTTTTCTTTTTTTCTACTTTTACTTTCAATGCCATCGAGTGCTTTATTATTATTGTGTTATACACTTATACACTTATTATACAAAATATATAATATTACCGAGTAATATCAAACTCGCGAACGTTTCTTTCTCCATTCACAACGTGGTGTTGTTGGTGCTTTTAATTTTTAAGTATGGATGTGGTGGGGAGGTGGTAGATCAAAGATCCGCGGATGTGATGGTGTGTTTATTAACGTATACGAGACGCACTGGCGCCGTTATAATTTATTATAATTTTTAAAAAGTGACACCTTTCAGGCAGTTTTTCTTCTTTACGGGACACTTCAGAAATGTTTCACTATCCCACCCCCTCCCGAAAAGCCTAAAAAGTCCTAATACATTGCGTTCCTACTAGGAACTTAATGGCAAATTGCCTTCGTGATTACAACTGACGAGCTACGGAATAGTTTATAATATTTTTCAAAAACAATCATTTGGAAATTGAATGAATTAATTCGGCCCATAATCTATGTACAAGTACATCAGTATATGACTGATAAATGCAATAAAGTCAAAAAGGTACATCCTAATATTTGGTATTAATATTGGAGTAGGAATTAAATTCCGTTACAGGTATGGAACAATACATTGTCAGGAAATATATACAATCTAAGTTTTGAGAATGCACATATAACCCTGCGACCCGTTGAAATCCCTATTTACCTATATTCCATAAAGTTATAATTATCATCTAAAAAACAAACGTTTCTTCCAAAAAACTACAACTCTTATAAATATTATTTAAAATAATGTCGCCTAATGTTCATTGTGCTTTTTGATTTTTTATGATAACTCGTATAATTTTATATTATAATAGTATGTAATATATTAATATAGGTATGTGCCTATGTACAGTTTATTAAAATAATAGTTGACCCTATATGGCTTTTAGACTATAGCTCTTGTTATTAAAAATAAATAAATAAAAGAATATTTGTAGACTCGATTATAAATTACTATAATGTTATAATATTTTTACATTCAGCATCCACTAAAATGTCTCAAGAAAATTTTTTTAAGAGTGTATGTTTGGATGACAAATCTAACCTATCATAAGCTCTTGTGTTCTTATATAAACTCTGTTGTTTTGTAACCTAACCTATGACCCACTGCAGTAAAAATAAAAGGATCGGCTATCATCATTGTAAAAAGTACATAATATTCCTAGCGTTTAATGTGTAATGCAAATGATGACTGTATTTATGATATTAACAAGAGGTACCTATATAATTTATAAATCCGATGACTTAACAAAAAATATAGTATGACGTGTAGTTATAAACATAATTGGCGTATTTTGTCTTTAATAGGTACCTACTTAAACGATTTAATCTTCTAGCCTATAAGAATAATAATTTCAAGAAGAAAGTATAAAAAGTTAATTTTACCGAACAATTGAGAATATTGTTAGAATATGTTTTTACATAATTAAAGATTACATTTAAACAGCTATAACTATTAATTAGTATAAATAATGGACAATCTAATTTATTATAAATATAGATTTCCAAATAATATTTGTGCATGATTACATAAATGATTTAATATATTTCTATTACCATGTATGTACATAAATTACACACCTCATACAGTCATACGCTTTCAATTACGTTGAACTAATAAAACGTTTAGTGTTTATTGTATCTATATGACGTTTAACACTTTAATTTGACATATTATTCATTACCTACTGTGAAATATTTTTTCGTAATACTCTCTTCTCGGATAAACTTGTATTGCCCAAAATTAAGTTGTGATCTATCGATCACATTATTAATAATTATAAACTAAAGTGCATGTAATAACCAAACCTATGTAAATGTGTGCCTTATGTTATTTCATTACCTACTCTGAGTTGACAATTGAACATTAATAAATAATATATAATAAATAATAATACGTATCCGCTATGACATTATACGATCAATTAAAATACCATACTCCGTTTCATTATGAATGTATTTTAATTAGTTTCTTAAGGATTTAAAGATGTTTGTTACAAATTATAATCATATTGAAGAATTTCAACATTTGTGATATTAAAATTGAATTTTAGATGTTATAGTTTGAACTTTTAAATATAACTATATATATTAATCATTAAGTAGGCATTAAAAATCTATAATCTACGTATGCTTAGGCTACATAATATAGGCGTACGGTGTACTTGCCTAACCAAGTATCTAACTTATAGTCTCTGTGACTAATATACCAGTATTCCACTCACCAACAGGTTTAAGCATTTTGTGTTTAAGATTTTTCCATAATATCGCAGTATTATTAATTTTAGTGAATAAATGAAACATTAATGAATCATGACAATTTACTTGAAGCTTAAATGTAATAGAAATATGAACATAATATAAATATTAGTATCGAAGCAGTGAGAAGGATGTACCCAATGTCCCAATGCAACTTTAAACCTATGGCTATATGGTCACTGATCAGTGACGCGATTACTTCTCATACAAATATAAGATGTATTGCAATTAATATTGTCCAGTAGAATAATATACATATTACATATATTGTGAACTTAACTAGTTGATATTAGGTAATACCAAATTATTGCAGAAATAAAATAGTAATACCTATAACTATAGTATTCTTCTTGCATAAATGCAGTGAAATAAAAATAAAAATTATAGACGTAGGTCGTAGTTGTAGATAGGTATTTACTTTTTATTATTAGTTAGCAAAAATTAACTTGCACATAAAACCAAAATGTATTGTTGACTACTTATGATAATCAATATTTATACCTAACTTATATTTTTATTAATTTTCATGGATAAATAATATCAAATGACAAATATTAAAATTAATGAATTTAATAATAACTTATAAAGTGTCAAGTCACGGCTTTATATAAAAAATTATATGAACTATTTTCAATTTTCATATATTATATAACTAATATTTATTATAATATGTGCGTTATAATTCATCGTATTGTTATTATTCAAATTTACAAATAAATAATCACTACTTTCTTGAAACATTTAAAAAAAAATTAAGATTTCAAAAATATTATGAAGTTAAAGCAATATGTATTTACGAATTTGTAGTATCTTTATAGTAGTAAACTACTAAGTTATTACTTATTACTGATAAATGATTATGTTTTGTCACCACTAATATATAGCTAGTATGGAAAATGTCAATAGGATCAAACTAACAATTATTGAGTATGACAATTTATTATAATAATTAAATAATGCATTTTTTATAAATATTTTATTGGGGAAATTAATCACATACCTACTCTTTTATTCTCTTATTTAAAAAAACCTTAGCCTGTATATTATAGTAAAAAAAAATTTATACAAATTAAAACGTACAGACTAGTTATCTGTTGCTTTTACATAACTCATTTGAAGGTTATTTTAACATTTCTAATAAACTCTCATTTCTAAGGCAATAGACATTTAGCACATCAAAAAGTTATATAAATAAACAAAGTTAATGATGAACTAAATAGTAATTTCAAACTCAATGCATAACTATCGACTACCGAGCAATAATTAAATTTTAAACACATTAATATTTGTTTACCACTTTTCCCGTAGGTACAGCGCAATCAGAAAACGAAGTTATACAACAATTTATTACTAGGTAGGTACCTACGCGTATAAATATAAAATATTAATTGATAATAATCTAATGACAATATTTAATAGTTAAAAATAGCTGTTGTAATACAAATTAAAATAACTTATAATGCAATTATTTAAGCCTCATTAAAAATTTTAATTTACGAAATTTGTAATACGTTACCGTATGAATGAACTAGTTTGAGTCAGTACCTATACAGTAACAACTAACGACCTACATTTGATTGTTGATTATAAGTTGGTGTAAGAGTGTCTTTTTTATGATAATACAGCCTAAATATTACATTTTTAACTTTCACGTTCATGCAGTAAAATGTTATAAATACTTTACTCGTATCTAAATTATAACATAGTAATAATATAAGTACCTACTAATTTTAATTTAATATGGTTAATTTATTTACCTTTATTAAGTATATTATATTAAATTAAGAGTTAAATGAGTTAAATTTTATTATCAATCTAAAACTTCAGTAGCTATAAGGCCATAAGTTTTTCTACCTTTTTATACTAAGTTTATATGCAACATTAAATATTTTTTTAAATATATTTATATAATGTGTAGGTACAATGGAAAAATATTATTTTTAAATTTGGTTGTCTTGGCTGGTATAATGGTATATTTGAGGAAGAAGATAAGGACGCTCGTTATGTCTGGACCTATGGATTCTTAAAAGTTTGAGTTTATTTTGTGATTGATTCTTACTTCTTCGTGAGATCTGCATTCCCTGAAAATGAGTTTTACTGTCATTGTCACTCCACACAAAATGCAGGTTGTCGAGTTTTCGATTCTTATTAGGTAGGTAATCGTAAGTTATCAGTTATCACAATTTGTTCACATGAATATGCATAAAATAAGTAGGAACTGTAGTTTTGTTTTTGTAGTTAATTGAGTTCAAATGGTGAGAAGAAAATG